GAGAGAGAGAGAGAGAGAAAGAGAGAAAGTGAGAAAGCAAGTCACCAGGTCCAGGGCTCAGACTGCAGCTGGACATGTGGGAGTTCAGTGCCCTTAACCACCACTCTACCTGCTGGCCCAAGTCATGATTTCAAAAAATCTTTTGTTTACATTTCAATGTCAAATGTTATTTTTGTATTTTTTCATATTCACATACATATCCTCTTTTTTATTGTCAGGGATATAACATCACCATATTAGGAAATTATAATATAACTAATACTTGTCTAGGTGCTAGGCATGAAGGATGCTAAAATTTCACATACAAGATAGACAATCTCCATGTCATTCACCACCTGAAGCAGATTAAGAAGTAAATCTAAGAGTTATGAGAGTGGTAGATCGGTTGATCTATTCTAGACTTACTGGTAATATTGGTGGTGGAGTAATGATATGAGGTCAGAGAATGATCCCCTGTGAAAATGCTGTTTTATGTTAAGAATATAAGTCAGGACCAGAAACATATTCAGCAAGTTCTTATTTGTAGAAGCTAAACATAGTTGATTTTGTAGAAGAGTAGATTAGGGGTTACTGGGGATTGGGAAGGGGAGAGAGGAGAAGAGAGTAGACAGAGTTTGGTTGACAGTACAGAAGTGCAGTTGAACAGATCAGGGTCTTTCATACATAGACTAGTAGGGTGATTATATTTAATGATGATTTATTATAAATTTCAAGATAGCTGGAAAAGAGGATTTCAAATGTTCCCCACTCTAAGAAATGATGCATGTTTGAAGCAGTGTACTCACAACTGCTGATTGCCCTAATTTGATCATTACGCACTGTATAGATGTATCTAAATATTACACTATAACCTCTGTATACAATTATTATGTGAAAATTAAAAACAAAACAAAACAAAAACCAGAATGAATAAATAAAAAATTTTCCTCCTATAAGCATGGATTTTCCCCCATTTTTCAACATTCCAACCTATAATTTACAGCCATTCTTCAAGAAATGAGGAAAAATTCATACTTACGGGATCCACTATACGAACAGTAGCCTGAAGAAAGAGAACAAAGATCATAGGAAGTCTCATATACTGGAGCATAGACATAAAAACTGGTGAAGAATTTAACAAGTTTAAATTCAAGAACATGCAGATAGATCCTTGAATGATACTATTGAGTATTGGCTTATAAGAGGAAACAAGGATGACTTGAGCATTTCTAGTATAGAATGTAAGACCCAACCTGTATCAAGCAGACACAAAAATGTGATAGATATTTAAGAAAATATGCTTGTAGATGCTGACTTCTACCTTCCCCTAGTTCCTACAGAGCAATATAAATCTTTTGACTAAGTCATTAAAAGCTTGTTTTACTTGCTTGTTCCTCAGAGTATAAATAAATGGATTTAACATGGGGGAAATGGAAGTAATGAGTATTGACACCCCCTTATTGATGGTCATTTCATCTTTTGCTGAAGGTTTGATATAAACAAAGATGCAGCTGCCATAGGTGATAGAAACCACAATAATGTGGGAAGAACATGTGGAAAAGGCTTTTGTCCTTTGTTGAGCAGAGGGGAATCTTAGAATTGTTCTGATGATATATGTGTAGGACAAAACCACACACACCAGAGTCATGAAAAGTATCAGTGCAGAGCAGACAACCACCATTTGTTCTATGAACCATGTATCTGAGCATGAGATCTTCAAGAGAGCGTTGGTATCACAGACAAAGTGGTCAATGATATTAGAGTTACAGAATTCGAGTTTTAAAACTAAGCTAAGTGGTGGAAGGATGAGCAACAAAGTAATCAACCAACAGCAGAAGATAAGTCTTTGACAGACCCTGTGGTTCATGATGGTCATGTAATGCAGGGGTTTGCAGATGGCTACGTAGCGATCATAGGACATGGTGGCCAGGAGAAAAAATTCCGTTATTCCAAACAGATATGTAAAAAAGAGTTGGCATGCACAAGAATTGTAGGTAATTGCCCTGTCTCCTGTTGATAGACTATACAGAAATATAGGAATACAGGCAGAGGTGAATGAGATTTCTAAGAACGAGAAATTTTGGAGAAAAAAATACATGGCAGTTCTAAGGTGAGAATCTACTAATGTAAGGAGGATGATGCTCAGGTTTCCACTTATACTCAACATGTAGGTGATAAGGAGAAATATAAAAATCAGAATCTGTAGTTGAGGGTCATCTGTCAGTCCCAGGAGGATGAATCTGGTTAGTGTTGTGTGATTTTTCATAATAAGTTCTGAATTTTGCTCAATCTGTGTATAAAAATGCAAGCAATAATATCTGTTTAGAATACAGAAATGTTGTGCAATGCATTTAGAAAAGCCAAATATTACATTTTACATGTTTTTTTAATAATAAATATTTTAAAAATGAATCATGTTCTCAGCTCTGTTAATATGTCACTTGATAGGTTTTAAAGTTGTCTTCCAATATTTTTTACCACAGCATGTGGCAAGATATAATTTTTACACTGTAATTGATTAGACATGCCCACACATATATAAACACATATCTACTTAAAATATTTCTGAAATGATAATTTTAAAATGAGCTAATGTTTAGATCTCTCCTCTATGATGGTATTTATCATAACTTATCTATTATAATTATAAATAAATAGAAATATAACCTAAATGATTTTAAAGCCTACTAGATGATTTGTGGTTGAAAAGTTGAATTTTTTAAAGAATCTTTATGAAGACAGCATTGTTGACACAGGGAGGTAGTGTTGTTATATTTTGATCAACTCGACCGGGTAGAAATGTTCACATATTGAAATGATCACCTTGTAAGCTAAATAATGTGATTGAATGTATGAAAAATGTAAATAAAAATAAATAAATACATAAATAAATTAATTTAAAGAAAAGAGAATCTTTCAGCAAGGCCAGCAAGTGGTGTGGTGGTTAAGGTGCAGGATTCCACCAGATCAAGTTTCAGATCCAGAGGCTTGAAGCAAACTCTTGTCATATGTGAAAATATGTTCAATATATCCAGATGAGAATGGAAGAGAAGGTATTGTGGCATGGCTATTTCCCCGGGATGATTTATCTCTTTCCATTTCTCTGCTAAGCACACACCCTATGACAAAAATCTAAAAAAGGAATCCTTTCAGAAATACGTTCAAGAATAAAGAATTTGTCAAAGATTTTTTAAATCTCAGTATTTTTATTGTAAAAAATTCTACCTGTAAAGTTTTCTTATTAGCATGAATTGAACCAATTTACATGAAGAATGATTTCTAAGTGTTGGCAGAATGAAGTTACTTGTAGAAGACATAAACCAACTCTTGATTTTGGATAATTTGAATAATCCCCTTTTAAAAAATTCCTATGATCAATAAGTTTTTGTATCCTACTTTCTTTTTTTAAAAGATTTTGCCATGGGACAGAGAAAGGAGATATTAGCCACCCGGGATTGGAGGGTGGCCATGCTGCAGTATCTTCTCCAGTCTCCTCTTGTGATTTAAAGATATTTTTAAAAACATACTTTATCCTTTAATTGACTCTTTAAAATATATTTGTTCATAGGTTTTTTTCTTGCTCCCCTGGGAGCAATGAAATCATTAAATTTAGGTGTTCTTCTTTTCTAAGAAATTTCCCTTTCTCACTATGTAATTTTACCATTTCATTAATAGGTTGAAGTTTTTCTTTCCTGGGTACATTGAAAACATTTGGGCATTGATTATGGTACCACAAGATCTTTCTACATCCATCAGAACAGATGACAACCTTAGTTCTTTAGCTTTTTTTTTTTTTTAAGAGGTTTTTGCTATAGGGCACGTGCGCACACCAGAGACACAGACAGAGACAGAGAGACAGAAAGCAAGAAACCATCCCCCCAGGGGGTATGGCCACAGTGCAATCCCTTCTCCTCCATTTTCCTCTCGGGAAATAAATCTTTTGACTAAGTTTGGGCATGCCCAAGTGATATTTCTTACAACGACTCAATTTAAAAATTTTTCTGTAGCCTTTTATGTTTGCACTATCCTTAATTCTAATTTAGGGAATTCTTTTTTGCTTTTATGTATGGTGGAGGAAATATTCTCTGTGCCCTTATGTTACACTGTATAATCTGACTACCTAGAGAGTACATACATAACATTTGCATTAAGGTAAAAAAATGATATCTGACATCATTGTTTGGAGATAACTTTGTGATGGTATCCATTTACTCTTTCTTAATATATATTTTAGGAACATTGAAAACAAGAGTTTAAACAAATTATTAATTTGATTATTCCTTGGTCAATAGCAACTACACTGACATCTGGTCAAATGATTTCCTTCACTAATCTTGTACAAAGCTATCAACAATTGAAAAACAGCCACATCATTACCTACAAATTCTTCATTAAATTGGCTAAGTTAAGATTTCACTTGGTTGGTTTAAAAAATTGATTCCCTCCATCAGTAAGAGACAGTTTTTTACCTACTTTCCCAGAGGAAACCTAGAGTTTACATTCTCCATTAGTAAAAGGGAAGTCTGACTCTGGTTTGTTGTAGGAAGAGCTAGTAAGCTCCCAAGAATGAGTATCACACACAACTAATCACAACTAATCAGCATATTAGTTAAAAGATTAACAACTGATTAATGAATTAAAATACACTAAATAATAGAATAATAGGCTGGCGATATAAAATAGACAGCTCACCTACCTATTGTTTCTTCAATCCTGAGACATCCAGTTGGTGCTTTTCACAATCCCCGAAATTTTCAGCATGCTCTTACTCCTGAATGAATTGAAAAATAATATTTGATTGATTTCTGTCATGACATTTGTCTTGTAGAAAACCAAACATTATATAGAGGATGAAGTAATTATAATGGTAGATAATTCCCAATGTCATCTTTCTTTAAATGACCAGTTTCTTCTTAATTCACAACCCATCCCTATCAATGCATTAGTCAATTCAAAGTTACTTGTTTTCTTTTTGCCACAATTCAATGAGCCAGTCATCTTTGTAATTATAGTCAACCTGTTTCTAAGAAAAATATCATTATCCATCTCTCTCAAATACTACAGATATAATGGTTTCATTTGAATATTCTTCCCTGAGCATCCTGAGCATTAGAGGTTGAAGAATATGTTTGCATGGGCTTGTATTTGGACTTCTGGACACTCTGAAACATAGACCCATACTCACCTAACAGACAATTCTATATGGCTTTGATTTATGTGATTTTCATTTCTACAATGTAGCTCCTACCAAAGCATTTGCCATTTGCCTGATTTTGAAAGCTAAATGTTTATCAAACATCTGGGCTGTTATCAAGAAAACTCTCTGGTTTAGAAATACATATTATTCAGATTTTCATAGACAAAATGAGTATATATTACAGTAACAAAAATGACCTTTGTTTTATTGGCCAAAAATGAAGTCAAGTGAATGAATAAGAGTCCTTGGTGAATTTGGTCCCAAAGTCATTAATAAATTGTTTTTTTGTATAACGAACATTTGGCAATGATCCCAAAACATACAGCAGTGGGGACAGTGTCCTCAGAGAACTAAGATTCCACAATAACATACTACACAGGTCATTTATACAAGATAAAAATGAAACAATAAAGAGCAGTTTATCTACCCTTCTCTTCCTTTGTTTTGCAGTAATGTTTATAGCAGCCAACAGAAAACAATGATCCTTTTTCTAGTTCTATAAATTTTTTTGACCGTAAATGATTAGTATTTAATATAGACAAAATTAAAGTAAGATAATTAAAATAGAGAAATTAAACTTAAAGTTAATAGTCAGACTTAATAGTTCACATTAAATCCTTTCAGAAATGTCCTATGCAAATCTATGCATATTAATTGGTATATTAAGAAATGTAAACACATTTATTTTTTTCTGTTTTTAGACAAGGTCCTGCTATGTTAACATCCTTCTCCCTTAGTCACCTGAGTAGTTGTGACTCCAGGTGTGTGCTACCACATCTGGTTACTTTAGATGGAGTCTTACTATGTTGGAAAGCCCGCATGCATGAGCATCAGGCAGGCTACAATATAACTGACAGAAGCAGAGAGGATGATGGGGCACATGCTGAAAGTAACTGGGGACAGCACTCTTCCTGTTATCACAACCTGCTCTTGTGAGAACAAACCCCTTCTCAAGAGATCTACAACTAACTCAGTGCTTTACTAGACAGAATAAATCTAGTCATGCCTCCATGCTCCAACCACCACCCACCAGCTTCATCACTTCCCAACACCATAACATGGAGCATCAATTCCAAAACATGAACTACTGAGGGACAATTATTCAAGCCAAAACATACTGGACATGAAGCATTAAAACAGTTTTTATTTCCAGATGTCATGGTCATTAACACAGAAAATAAAATGGAAATAAAAAATAGGCATTAAAACTAATAAATGAGCTTAGGATAGGAACGAATTGTAAAATTAATATATAAATATCCTTGATCTTTATGTACCAACAATGAACAATTAGAATTGAAAGTAAAAATGTATGCCAGTAAAAATGTGATTTACTAACAAAATCTCACAAACATTATGCAGGTTTTGAATTCTTAAAATTACAAAACTTAAAAGGGAGAATTAAATAATACCTAAATAAAGAAATATGTTCATGGATCAGAGGACTTAATAGGTTTAAGATTATATATAATTCTCCCAAAACTGATCTATTGAGTCAGCAGAATCCCAATCAACATCCTAAAAGGCTGTCTTTTAAAGTAGAATTTGAGGTGAAAAAATTTTTTTTTGTAGAAGTGAAAGACATAGATGGGAAAACCACTTTGAGTAAGAGCAGAATTGGAGGGCTAACCTTACTGAATTTCAAGACTTACTCTAAATGTACAGTAATCAATATAGTGTGGTATTGATTAACATATATATGCATGTGTGTGTTTATTTATTTATTCTTTTTTAGAGATTTTTGCTATAGGATGCATGAAGAGAGACAGAGTAACAGAAAGTGAGAAACTCTCTCTCAGAAGAGGATGGTCACTCTGCAATCCTTTCTCCTCCATTCTCCTCTCAGGATTTTGGCTGTGTACACCCACGCACCCAGAGTAAGACTCAAGCTGCCAGGTCCAGACCTGAACTGCAGTTGATTGTCTGGGAGTCCAGCACCTTAACCACTATGCCATTTTCTGGACTCTTCCATGACAGAAAGAGATAGATAACATGCCCAAGTGAGTCTTAACACCATGTTCTACTTTCAGCTTCAGTCAGACCTGGATCATGGACGTGTATTATCCATT